TAACGGTAGTTCCAGGGAATTTCTGATCTTCTATTTATTAAGTAGCCTTAAACTTTAAAACCAAAGTATAAAGAACATGTTTATTTTATCTCTTTCAATGCCGGAAGTTTTTCATCTTTCCGAAAAGCCGTTCCAAAATCTCCAGGATACTGAGCCTCTCACCTTATCAGAGCTGTTGCTAGGAAGGTCTCTTAAATGCAATTTGCTGTGGTGTGCGAAGCGACTTTAGTACAGTTTACTCTTATTACTCCTGAGATAAGGTCTGAGATTTGCAGTCTTTACTGTTCAACTTGGGGGAAATAGTTTACTGATCTCACATTGCAATAAGATATTTCAGCTGTCTTCTGGATGTGGCCACTTCCATCCCTCTTGTTTCCGGGCCCAATTTAAACTGCAGCTGATGTTGATATTTGCTTTGGAAAACTATTCGGATACAACTGATAGGCTGACAAAATCAAAAGGACGCAAATAGAAAATCATTTTTTTAAAAAATACTTTGGGGATTAACAGGATTAACTGAGGCTAAAGGACACTAGGGTAGTGCTTAATCAGTAATTGGTGTAAAGCGTAAAAATGATAAGAATGAGGTTGAATAAAGGGAAATAAAAATCGGTTTGCGTGCTTTCAGGGCAAAACAAGACCTGAATGACTGTCCAAGTTAACCACAAAACTGCAACTGCATCTGCCAATTACCTTTATGTAGATCATTGATGAAGGCTTTCTTGCCCAGGTACACACTGCTCTGTGAGCCAAGAACTTTGGGCATCTGTGTTTTTGGTATCCTTCTTCTGTCACAGTTGTCTATACATCCATTGACTTCCTTTCATATGCAACCGGATAGTCGAACAAGAGGATGCTGGCTTAAAATTGAAAGGGGTAATTTCAGGATAGTCATTGTAAAGGGTAAATAATGACTGGAACAGGTTGCCAGGAAGAGTGGTTGAGGTCAAGATGCTGGTGTCATTTTTAAAGAAATAGCTTGATGGTGTGCTACTTATTCTGATCAAATGGGCGGAAGAGCTTCATCCAAACCAGCCTTGCAATCTGGTGAACTTGATGTTTTGGCTCAAAACCTCTATAACAACAATGAGTGATTAAGTTACTGCTCTATGTGGAGTCCTGTAGCTCAGTGGTTAGAGCACTTGGGCTCGATTCCCGGCAGGGCAAAATGTTAGGCAAGTTTCCTTACTCCACATGCCTCTGTTTACCTAGCAGTAAGTAGGAACCTGGTTGTTAGTCGTATGGCAGATCACTTTTCCAGGGGTAATAATTCCTCCAAAAAAGGAATAATAATAAATTGGTCACTTCAATCCACGACTGTTTGTGGGACACTACTGTGCACAATTGCCTGCCTCGTTTTGCCCACAAAATATACAGTTTACAGTATATTCTGTGAAGCGCTTTGAGACATTTCAAAGACGTGATAAAGGGCTATATAAATGCAAGGATTATTATTATTATTTATGGCTTGCAAAACAGGTTCTGTTGCAGATGCTATTGAAGTCAACATTGTCCTGGCAGACTGCAGTGCAGACAAACCAAACCATTGTTCCATTTCTTTCATTATGTGGGAGGCAGCATGACATCTCTGGGTGTACACCATTTTATGTTTAAACTTCTGTGGGTTTATATCTAGTTGCCTTAAAAAATTGTAAGCAAGTTTCACAATCTCATTTCCCTCTGCACAAAGACGTTCCTCATAAATTTTTGGATCCCCTAGTCGCTATCTTATACTTGTCTCCTCTGGTTATGAAACCCAGCCTATTTATGCTAACCTTATCAAAGCCTTTTATAATTTTGAACACCTCTATTTGGTCTCCTCTTAAAACAATCCTTCTCTGGTCAAAAAATGCAAATAACAAGATTAAAATAATAATATTTAAATACCTGTGTTATTTAATAAACTGTTCAAACGTTTAAGTGAGGGGATAAGTTTGCTTACAAAATGCAGTCATTACACTTTACAGTACATTCTTGAAAAACAGTTTGATATACCCTTCTGATGTGAAAAGCACAATATCAAATGTAAAGTTTATTATTATTATAAGTTCTCTTTCTTTTTATTTTCACATTTTGCTTTACTAGAAAGGATGAATTAGCAATATTTCAATCATATTAAAGTAACTTATTCGTGCCCTGATTAAAGTACACTGGTTTGACCACGGATTTAGTGGCTTGAATTCAAGATTGATATAAATTGTAGGAAAAAAAACAATTTCACATAACATAACATGTAGGAGCAGGAGTAGGCCATTCGGCCCTTCAAGCCTGCCCCGCCATTCAATCATGGCTGCTCTTCTAATCTAACTCCAGCTAATAACCTAACCCAGCCTTATCTCCATATCCCTTAATCCCTTTTGCATTAAGAAATCTATCTATCTCAGTCTTGAATATGTTCAAGGACTGAGCGTCAACAGCCCTTTGGGGTAGTGAGTTCCGTACATTCACCACCCTTTGAGTGAAGAAGTTCTTCCTCAACTCAGTGCGAAAGAGCTGGCCTCTGATTTCACCTCTTTTCACCTCTGGTTTCTGAATTATTCATTGTCAAACAAAACAAGTGGAAGTGAGAAAGTTCCCAAATGTGTCATTTGCACATAGAAAATATTGGCTTCAGTCATTAACTTTACTTGATGCTTGTGATTTTGAATCCCTTAGAATGACTGAGCCATTACCAAGCATGTAAGAACAAACATTGTTTTGAGAGTGCTAGACACTACCCCATAAGATTGTTAAACTAGGCCACCAATTATTTTTAAAGACCAATATTCTTTTTACAATTGCAATGCAAAGTAATCCCATTACTGCAGCATTTATATCCTAGTTCTGCTGGTGGTGTAAGTTAATGAACTTGCATTCATGCTATTGCAGGCATCAGCCTCATAGTGGTGTTAATTGGTATGAAAAGGTTCAAGCACAGTGCACTTTGTGGGGAAATCTAGCCCATAAGATTTTAAACAAAACAACTATAAGAGTTTTATTTTGCAATCAATTAAGCAGCCTTTCGTTCTTATACATCTAAGCTTTTATTGAGAGCTGCTTGGTTCAAATCTGTCCGGGATGTAATCTGCTGCAGTTATAAGAGCCTTAAAAACTACAAATAGTAAAATAATCAATACCAGTGGTGCATGTAATGTTACAATTCTGATATTTATCAGTAATTTAGAATAATACTTTATCAATAAAATTAAGAGTTACATTTGTGAAATCACTTTGAAGACAGGATGAAGATCTAAAGAAGTCATTGTCAGACACAGAAAATGAATGCTGTGTTCCATCAGTAGAGGGCAATAACATTCAATTTTGAGATATCAATGCTCAGTTCTGAAACAACATTTCAACAGCTGCTAAAAGATTTGCAGAATGGATCAAGCTGGACATTTTTGCAAAAGACCTATTGCAATAAATAAAAAACGTTCCAGAAAATATCATTCTGGTTTCCTATAAATGCCTATCTTTTTCATTTGTGTATCAGGCGATCAGCATTTTATTCAGAATTTTCCATCCATAATAATAATAACGATTACATTTGGTATAGCAAATTTCACATCGGGAGGATGTCGCAAAGCGCTTCACAACATATACTATAAAGTTAGTGACTGTGTGTTTGTGAACCAACATGTGGCCGAATGCCTTATGGGCAATATGCAATGGGATGAAAAAAAGTATAACCCATCCCCTTTCCCATGGCTCAAATGTAAGTTCTCCTCTGTAAATTGTTTAAAGTTGCTCACACACAAACAGCTGTGCCCTGGGTTTAGGTGGATGCTAGGGGTGGGGATTAAGTGTGGGGGAGTCCACGGTGAAGATTGTAAACTCACTGTGGGGATTTGAAGGCACAAACCCATACTTTACCATTATGTGGCACAGCATGTTTCTTTACCAATGCATCGTATCACTGAATTGCTCATTACATATACCAACTTTAACCTTATGTTCTGTTCTGCTTCGTAATGACAGCCATGTCTGATTTGATGGTTTGATGAAAATTTTATATTTTGGCACAGTTCAAATATATCACAGGATATACTGTAAAGTGTAGTGTCTGAGCGTTTATGGGCCAACATGTGGCTGAATACTTTGTGGGCAATATGTGCAACGGGTCTGTGTGTGTTTGTGTGTATGCGTATGTGTGGGTGGAGGGGGGGTAATCGCAGTGTAACTCATCCCCTTTCCCATGGTTTAAATGTAAGTTTTAAGTTAAAATAAAAACAATGACCTCTCGCAATTATTTTCTTCCTGTTTTATAGCTTCCCCTCCCACGCAATGTACCCCGACTGAAATATTCGATGAGTCTCCCAGTTGGTCCCAAGCCTGTTGGCAATTCTGCTCTATAAAGTGTTTATAGTTGCTCACAAACAACTGTGCCTTGATTTTAGGTGCATGCTGGGGGGAGATGGAGTGGGGGGAGATAGGGGGGTGAGGTGGCCGGGGAGAGAGGAAAGAATTCTGCCAACCGTTGATTCCACGGTTAAGATTATAAACTCGCTGTGTGGGGATTTGTAGGCACAAACCCACACTTTACCATTCTGTGGCACAGGATGTTTCTTTACCATATATTAATTTTGACCTTCTGTTCTGATCTGCATGGCAACCATGTCTGATTGGTACGCAATGAAAATTTCATATTTTGGCATAGTTCAAAACATAAATCACCTATTATTTTTAATATGACCAGATCACAATAAGGGTTTGAGAAAGCAGAATTGCATTTACAAGTTTTGTAAATGGGATAAAAGCCACAAGCAACATCTATTATTTGTGTCGAAATTGCATCGTGTACACGTTGAAGCTGAAGTTGAATAAATATATTTTAACACAATTTACAAAATATGTGTGATCCTTTAAAAGTAAAATAGAAATGTCTCAACTTGAAATGCTACATTTATTCAGGATGAATGCTCTAACAATTCTAGATACCTTCTCTATTTCATTCAGTGCGCTCTGTTCAGCATTCACTTAACAAAAGTCAAACTAATGTATGTTTCCTTAAATTAATACAGAATATCAAGCTGCCATTTTACAATTAAAAAGGGAGCACAAGGAAGCTACAGAAAACTTACAGGTAAGACATTCATACATCTGCAAACGAGACAACATGTAATTTAAGGTATTCTGTCATTTTAAAATCAATTTAGCTATGTCAAGATATTAAAGATACAACTTAGTTCTTTAGTCCTTAAAACAACTTTCTTTCAACTGTTGATCTATGTGTTAATTCTTTGATAAATTAAAAAAGAGTTACTGACTATTTTAGAATAAGTTGTTTCAAACCAAATTCGGTTCACAAAGCATTGCAAAAAGGCAGATGTATATAAAGCATGACTGAATGGCTGTAGCATGAGAAGATTGATTACTTGTCTACCAAACTTCATCATGAGTTAGAAACTCTTGTGGAAGATTAGAAATGTATTCATATGGAACATTCTGCCACATCGAAAGGTGAATATATTTTGGCATACAGATCTGGCACCAGAAAGGATTATGAACACAAAGAGTTGTGAGTTAGCAGGAGAATAATGAGCAGGAGTTTTGTGAAATGATCAAGTTGTAGCTGGCATTGTCAGATAATATAGTTCTACGGGAGGTAAAGGAGCATAAGGTGGACACAAAATACAAAATCACTCCACTTTACAGTAAATACTGTGAAGCACTTTGAGATGTCTCGACGATGTGACAACACATTATATCAAATTTAAGGATTATTATTGTATGATTATTATCTACTTTATACAGAGGGTGATGAATAAATGGAACTTACAGCACAGGAAAATATGGGAGGGAATCTGTGTTGACAAATTCAAGAGAAACTTGAGTAAAAGTTTTTGGCAAAAGTAGGAATTGAAAAATATATGGTTTCAGACTCGATGAATTTGGGCCACACAAACCTATATAGTAATTGCTGCTGCGCTTGGTGGAAAAGCCCTCATTTGCGCTTGAGCGCAAGTACTTGTAAGGCCAACGTGGGGCTGAGCGAAGGTTAAGTGTAAGACAGTAGATACCTGGGCAACAGGTGCTGGGTTGACGCACTCTGTTACTAGATTTACTAGCCCTACCCACCCACCACCTCTGCATTTTCAAGCTCTGTGGGAAGCTACCCTGCGTGAGGGGCACTATATAAATGCAAGTTGTTGTTGTGTGTGTTTTTTTAAAAAGGGGGAGCCATTTTCACATGGGCATATGGACAACAGAGGCACTAGTGATACTTCCCGATTACCTCCCAAATAGCCAGCCCGCCCCTGATAGTCATTGTCACCACAATTTTCAAGGGACTCCTCATTGATACTGAGCTGGTCAGCTCAGCCATTTTCCACCTCAATTTTGAACTCAACTGGACCGTTTGAAATTTATAGGGGTCAAGTGGTTCAATAGCTGCTTCAGAAGCGTGAAAAGATCATTGATGCAGGTGGTTCATGATTGGCTGTTACTTTTTCATTGCCGCTTATAAATTTGCATTTTTTTACAGTCCGAACTTAGGAATGCCGCTCACTTGGGCAATTTCATTAGGAGGTCCTTTAAAGGTTCAAAAAGCATGTTTTGCACTTTTGTTTTAATGATCTGAAGAATGTCAGACCTGGGATCTTTATGACAAAGACCCAATTCTAAAGGGAAATCACTGATGTGTATAAAATCACAAACAGAACTTTTCTGTCATAACGCTCTCATGATAAACTAAAGAACTATAAACAACTTATTTTGGTACATAATTAAAGGATTTTTGAAGTAATATAAAACGTTGTGTTGGCTTAACTCCACCATTTAGTGGACTAGAATATGCTGTATTAGTGGGATTATGTGAAGGGGAATTTATAGCTGTGCAATTTCATGATGATTCGCTTTCTGAGAAGTATCTGTGCACTTCAGACAACTGTCAAAATGTTTAGCTTGAAATGATAGAATATCATCATCTTAAAAAATGATGAGTATTTGCATAGCTAGTAAAATAAGTTGTTTCCCTTAATATGAAACAGAATAGATTCTGCAACGCTGGTTCAGTTTATATGTTTTACAGCAATGACTTTTAATAAATCAAATTAAATTGAGATGAAAATCTGACGTAACTGAGTGTAGCACGAAAGCTGATATTTAATCAGCATTTGGAACTTTTCCTTGGAAAGATTTAGACCGTGAAAGGAAAGTTATTTGCATTCTTAAATGATGATGGTTTGAATTGTGAGAGCATTTAAGTTCACTGTAAAAAAAAACTAACTCTGTCTACCTTTTTCATCCTAATGTATTTATTTCCCTGATTTATTATGTACATGTATCTGGCATATCTTCCAATGACTGTACAAGCAATTATATACTAACTATCACAGTATAGGTATCCTCTTTCATGAGCAGAAGAACTATTTTAACATCCTAACCATACATTATGATGATTACAGGGTGGGGGTGGAATTTACGACATGGCTTGGCCCATCTAAAATTCAGTTGATCAATGTACGGTAAACTCCTAAGAACATGACCTGGCTTAATTTGCCACTATCACTTACTATTAAGCATCTCTGCTGTGAATGTTCTGCAATAACTGCCCAAAGTTCATTCAGTCATTAACCAAGGGACATAGAACATGTGTAAAGCATCAGGTGTAAAACAATCAAGTGTTTTCTGGACAAGAAAGACAATGTTGCACAACAAGTCAAAAACTGCCAAGATTTTTGAAGCTCTTCTTCCATTGTTAACCTCCCAGTAAATATTTATGCTGCCAAGAAATTTATACAGTGGCTTCAGAGGGAAGATTGACACTGTATGTTATTTATTGCAATGCAATGTAATCATAATCTTTCCACCTTTTTTTCTTAAAATTGATCACAGTAAGTAATCACTCTGAACTTTTACAACCTACGTCATGTTAGAGCTATGCCAAATAGATGGTCATTACCCATACTTTCTGACTACTTCTGTGCACAATTCAAAGCATGAACACAGTTTGGCTTTGTTCGTAAATTTAAACAAACTATGTTGTTTCCTTTAATTGTTTGCTGCCTCTCTGACCTGAGGAGTGGGAAATTGCTCAGAATGTTCCCCCAAATTCTTCCTTAACAAGATTATCAAATGAATAGAAGTTTCTCCCAGAGTCCCAGCCAAGTAAAATTGGGCATTCATTTCATTGTTGTTCATGGAACACTGTTGTGTGCAAATTGGCCAACAACAACAAAATACAGTCAATGCACTCTACAATAATTTCAGTAAAGTGCTTTGGGACACCTTGAAGACAATGATAAGGTGTTATATCAAATGAAGGATTATTATTATTATTATGTCCATCCAAATTGGATAGATACCACACTTAAGTTCCAGTATGTGCTGCTGCTGAGTTCAGCAGGGTTGGCGCTAAGGGGTGTTAAGAACTCTGTAGATTTAGGTGACGTAAAATACAAGAATACAAATTAGAATACAGTTACAACACTGCAGTAACATGAATGAATCTGCCTTGCATTATTAAAATTCTTAATAATCTTAAAATATCATGTTCTACTGAAAGACTTTTATATTTATATTAATCACCTTGTAGGCTTCCTAACTCCCTTAGTGAGTTGGCAATTTATTTTCAATTAGTACCAATTAATGGGCATTGTACTGCAGACTTGTACCCACTAAGAACTGAGTTGAAACTTTTCAAATTCATTTAACTTAGAAGAACTCTTCCAAGCATGAAAGAGAGAGAAAACTTTTATCCCATCAATCTGGGTTTGATTGTCAGCCAACTCCCAGAGGTGAAAGGACCCTGTTCTAATCCCCCGCATGACACCATCAATCGCGCCTTTAGGCATTAGTTATGTCACATCTTACTTACTGAAATCGAATGTTTATTTAAGAGATCCTCTCACTTGTTTATATAAGAGACCAGCACAAAGGTTTTGCATAGTTGTTGAATGAAGCTTTCAAATTTAAAATATTTTTATCCCTTGTTTAAAGCTATAATGTATTACAGGATTTAGTCAAAGACCTTTTACGGCAAACAAGTAGAAAACTATGCTTCAAAGCAGTGGATCTGAGTCAGTCAACTGAGATGCCTTTTCGGCACCTTTGTGATTTAAATCCATTTATGAGGTTGGGTTGTCAAAACAGTTTGACTAATGTCAGACAGCTCCAGTTGGCCTTCTGAGGTTAAGTTTGATCCTGAAGTTTACAAGTTTGTATTGGTACCGCAACTTGCTTGATGTCACCAGACATCAACCCAGAGAGCAAGAACATGCCCATAATAGACAAGTATTTAGGCAATACTGAAGCAAATGTTATGCAGTATGTTACTTACAGAAGAAAAAACATGCGTTTATCAGATGTTATTGATCCAAATAAGATTAGCGCAACCAAACATAGAGTGCTTTCAAAAATATAAAATAAATGAACAAAATGTTATTGTTAGAGCTTTTGAATCCATCTTTTTATCTCAGATAATGACACATGAACAAAACAGCACTGTATGATTGGACATTACTAATGCAGAATTAACAATTTATTGCTCTGAGGTCATTATCTTTACCACCTTATTCCTGTTTTAAAGAGCCTCATTCACTCCTATAAAGTTGGCCAAGCTTTTTCCTGTTGTTTTTCCTGAAGAAACCTATAATGTGTTGAAGCTATTTCCCCACTGTGATGCAGTCATTCTGGTTTGAAAAAGCATTGATGTATTACTTAGTCTGAAAGGGTAGCTTGTTTCAAATGACATTCTGCAACAGAGTCATGACAAAGTGGTGCAATACATTATACTGTAATTTTATACACAGAGCCAAAATGTTTACATTCTCAAAGCCTTACTCACTCATCACGATGGCAACTTTTCCGGATTCTATCCTTCCTCAAAATGACAGTCCACATTTAATTAAAAATGTAGCCATGTGATTGAATTGTGTTCCATCAAAATTCACATAATTCACACAATAACAAGTTTAATTCAAATAATGTAGATGTCTAAACCAGGCTGTTTGATCCGTGGCTCTTGATAAACTTCATTAATAGTTCTAAGGCTGTCTCTTCCTGTTATAATTACAACAGTGGAGGCGACAATTCTGAATAGCCAGGTCAACGGGTTCATGTGATCTACGTTTGCGCTGGCAG